ACGGACTTGTGCTATTTGGGTAATAGCGAGGTAGTAAAACATTAGCAGGTTATGTATTAAAAAATCTTAGAGACAACCTGCTGTCGAGTCATATCGGCTCGCCTTTTATACTAATACGGGATGATTGTTCCTTACGAGAAAGGCTAACGCGCTGTCGCCACGTCGCGGCCGTGAGTGGTACTAGTACTGTACTATACTATTCTGAAAATACATGTTCAGGATAAATGTCCGAGAGACATCTATATATGATATTACATATAGATGTCTCTCAGATATCTTTGAGAGATCTGTGTATGATATTACATAAAAATGTCTCTCAAATATCTTTGAGATATTTGCTACGATATCTCTGAGACATTTGTATAAAGATATCTCTCAGATATCTCTGAGATATCTGTAACTTCATAAGGATATCCTTGTTACGTCAGTGCTATGTGGGTATTGGCTTTACATTAGACAATATTGGTCAATGCATTTCTAATATAATCAATATTGGATCAATATTTAGCCAACGTTTAACTAATGCATTGTGCTACTAGGGTCGTTTATTTTCATTTGTTTTTTTAATAAATTTTTAATCAATGATCTTACCACACAGGTGTAAAATATGCAAACGATGCATACAAAGGGTGTAACTATGTGTACATTTACTCCGGTGACTGAAAATAGAGTAATCTGAAATAATTTTTTATATAATAATACCGTACTGCAATTTCCATATTTGCACAACATATTTTCCAACAAGCTAAAATTACGCATCCGCATGCATAATTATTTAGGTTTGTGCAAATTCAGAAATTATTAAGCTAATTCTCTATAAAATTTTCATTAAACTCTGTTTAGAAAATATATACCTTGATTGAAGGCCAATGCGGGTACGTAGATGACAATTGGAAGCCAAGTTATCTAAAAAGAACATCATGTTTCGATATCACTTGAAATAAACGTTAATGGAAAGATTTATGGAGATAGGTATGATTTTCTGGCTCTACTCACAATACTGATGGCGAAAAGGACCGAACCTAATACTCTTATTCTTTTATCGAAACGCTTCTCGAGATATTCATAAGTGCTAGTGAGTTTGAGCTCGTGAAAAACCGGCAGATACACGACCGACGTGACAATGGTGACGAAGAAGACAGAGCAACAAATGAATAGATAACTTGTGCCATGTACATAAATCTCCGTCGGTGTCCCCAACAACGAGATACCTGTTGCATATTATTTAACTTTAAATAGAAATTAAAGGCTTATAAGTAATGTATATAGGATTAAGGCTCACTCCTTCAGTCATTCTGTTTTACCGAACAAACGCGATTATTTTTGTATACTTTTTCACATACCACACATACAGATATACACTCATTTAAAAACAAAGCGGCACATTTAAAATTTGGGAAAAAATTACCAACTTTCAAGTGACAATAATTTCGTAAATAATAAACATAGAAAGGTTTACAACAAAATAAAAATAAAGCTTGGAATTTCTACTTTAAAAAGCGATTCGTTTTAACGTTGCTAGATAAATTTATTGAAAATGGCAGATAACAAAACGAAAGCATACGAAACTGAAAAATAATAGTCCGATTTTGCCACGGCACATGACGTGAGTCAAATATCGCAAGTCAATCAATTGTATAAAAAGTATATCAAGAGTAAAAGAAGGATTAAGGCCAATATATTTACGAGCAATAAAACATTTACTAGAATAATACAATAATTCCATAAAACCCATTGTCATGTCGGCGATGAACAATGTTTTTGTGATTAATAAAACAATTATAATAAATCGACGCGACGTATGGAAGGCATGTATAATAATAACGAATGATTCTTAAAGATAGATAATTAAATTGCAATAAGATATCTTATCAATAAGAATCTTCCTGCTCGAATCAAAATTGGCGTTTGAAGATCAACCTCTACCATTGTATTCACATCAATAACAATGCGAAATACATGTTAAACCATTGGACTCGACTAGGACAAGAGCCTCGCTTGCAGATTACAAGAAAAACTTCCGCTGAAGATGACTAACAAGAAACGTCCGTCACTTAATCCAATTTATTTTATTCATTTCTAATTGTACAAAGAAAACTTGCGTTACTTTACACAAGAAAAACGTGCGTCATTTATTGCAATTTAATTATCTATCTTTAAGAATCATTCGTTATTATACATACCTTCCATACGTCGATTTATTGGAATTGTTTTATTAATCATAAAAACATTGTTCATCGCCGACATGACAATGGATTTTATGGAATTATTATTCTAGTAAATGTTTTATTGCTCGTAAATATATTGGCCTTAATTCTTCTTTTACTCTTGATATTCATCAAAGACGAGCTTGTATTTAACTCTAAAAAGTATATGATAGTACAGAGTTTGCTCTTTTATAGAATGCTTTCTCATTCAACACGATACGATGATTTTTCGCCGAGATATTCGCATTTGAATGAGAAGGTAGCTTTTTACTCGTACTTTAAATGTGAAGAACTGTAACATGGAGCACATTATAATATAATAAGAAATATATATGTATTTTTAACTCGTCTTTAATTTAAGATTACGACTAAAGATTATTAGTAGAATATTAGTAGAATTATAGTATATTTGATAGAAGTATTTGCATATGTATGTACTTATATAATTTACATAACATCCTCGTTTATCATTTCTTAAATTTACATATTGTTTAATTATCATTATAATTTCAATAAATATTATATTTTCAAACAAAATGCATATCTTGATTGTAAAAAATAATATCCCACGTATATGTATAAATAATGCTGATTTTCAGAAAGTACAAGTAATTATAATATACAGGGTGTTTCCTCAAAGTTGAGCACGTAGAATATCTTTGTTCCCTTTGATGACACGAAAAATGTCACAGGGCGAGAATTGTTTGATTCAAAGGAACTAACATTGTGATAAGCGAAATTTTTTAATGTCACTTTTTACACGATTTCAAGGTCATTGACATTTTTTTTAAATGAGATGACATATTTTTATTACTGCAGTGATGTAGCTTATAAAAAAACAAACTCAACCACATAGTAATGAATATTGTTAAAAGACTACATTATCATATTTATGTTATGTATTTTGAGTCGCAGGTGTGTTACATAACATTTTTAAAGAACTGTTACGGCGAATATAGGTATACGTAACAAAGAAATATAACTTTGTTAACGTTAAGAATCATTTCGCAATAAATTTTCTGTTTTAAAAGAACACTTAGCCAGTCATGATCGATTAACTGCTTTACAATTAATTATAACTTTGTTCTTCTAATGTGCTGTCAATGTTATGTAATAGTTACATCTCTTTTACATTACTATTAAATATAACATTGTTCTCTTTATGTGCTCCGTAAGTTATGTAACAGTTATGTTATGGTTTGCTAGGATCACTGTCTATGAAAAGGTTAGGTAATGTGAACGATCTCTTAGTTAATTCTTCAAAAATTCTACTTCCACCTCTTCTCATTAAACTGTCTAATCAAACAATTGGTTAAGGCTCTAGATAAAGAGGGTAAATGCTTCCAATATTTTCAAGGAAAATTTATGAACATCTTCGAAGATTAAAGGAAGGAATCTTTGATGGACCTCAAATCAGAACTGATGAGGGATGAAACTTTTGTTACTACGATGATACAGAGAAAGCTCCTTGGTTGAGTTTCACAAATGTTGAAAATTTCATAGGTAATCACAAAAGTCCAATGTACAAAGAAATAGTGTCTGAAATGGTTGAGAACTTTAGAAGAATGGGTTGCCTGATGAATCTAAAGCTGCATTTTTTGGATTCTCAAGTAGACTACTTCCCAGGGAATCTAGGCGATTATAGTGAAGAACACGGAGAACGATTCCATCAGGACATTAAAAAATGGAGTATCGATATCAAGGGAGGTGGACGTAATAACGAGGGACGTAAATATGATGGCCGACTTCTGTTGGATGCTAAAAAGGGAAGTGTGGAAGAAGCGTGGTGTTCCTCCGTACTAGGGGGAATGGGATCGGGGGGAGGGAGGATGACAGAGAAATTAAAAAATCGCGTATCGACAGTTCAGTGTACGGCCGACTACCCTTATCGGCGCACAGTTCTGAAAAGTCGAAATAGACGCGCAAACAACATCTTAAGTAATATTCATGTTATTGCGAATAGTATTATCACAGTCTCAGTGGTCGAGCTGGCTAAGACGCCCGTCACGGATTGAGGGAGGTCCCAGGTTCGAATGCTGGCTGAGGTAATATTTTTCGCAATAAGAATTTTAATTGCCTGATACGGTCAATAAAAAATCACTGATGTTTTTAATTTTTCTGTTATTACTGCAATATTATATTCTACAGGGTGTACTAAAACCACCGAAGTCCTTTTAATCACGGATTCTTTAGAAAATTTCAAGAGGAAAATTCTAATACAAAAATGTCGAGGCTATAATAGTTTTTAAATAATAGGCGATTATATTATAGTTCACAAATAACAGGCCTGAGATTTCGCGCGCTCAGGCACGGCGACCTGACGAGTGATAAAAGTATTCCTATGAATGTCGCCCCTTTTCATTTAATTCAAGTAAAAATTTGCAACGTCTCGTAACTTCAAAGTGTTGCAGCTGTCAAAGTGGTCGATCAATATCAGTTACCATGAAGGTTGTTACTATGCTAAAAGGGGCGACATTCGTTATAGGAACACTTTTATCACTTGTCATGTCCATAGACATAGTATA